GAATAACAATACAATCATGTAATTCATTTCCCTTTACTATAATCTTCAAATCATGACAAAGGTAAATAACAAAGATGAAAAATGAATGTCAAAAGATATATATCATTTTTGACAAATTTCTTCTTTTGTAAATAGAAAGCATGATAGGAAACAATCTTGATTCAAAGAGAAAACTCAAGTTATAAATTATCAAGATGTCAAGTAGCATATCATGGCTTACAAGAACAAGTTTCTTGTTAGTTAATAGCAAAAAGAATTATAGGAGAATAAAATCTCAATTCATACATATAAAATCTTATGATTCACATAGAAGATCTCCTTTTTTATAAAACAAGAGAATCATGATGAAGAATCTTGATTTACATAAAGTTTCAAAATATAATTATCAAGATCATGAATACTAAAAGACCATGAAACATTTCGACAAATCTCCTTTTAAATATAAAACAATCTTGATTCATTTAATAGAAAATTTAAATTATAATTGCGAGAAATCAAGATCATGATTTCAATAAAACCCATTAAATTCAAATCATTTTCATAATCCATGAGATTCATAAAAATATTACAAATGGATTCATCAAAATCAATAAGATAAGAGAAAAATAATTTTCAAGAAAAATGTTCTTCTCTTTTAGTTGTTTCAATTCATGTGATTTATTTCATTCAAGCATGCCCTTTTTATTTATATCAAATAAAAATATGTATCATGTTTAAAGTCGAAAGTGCGAGATTTATTACGACAAGGATCAATAAGACACTTTCATTATGGTAAAATTGATAATCCGTAAATCACAAGATTCATCATGCATAATTTCGAAAATCTCATGCATAGAACAAAATCATCAATCATGATATCAAAATATTTATCATTTAAAGCATTCATGATACACATCATATGCAATACATCGCATACATTATCATAATAAAAAGCATAAGTAATGCATGTATTATTCTAAATCATAAATATTTCAAATCATGATGGTATTAATTTATCAAATTTCATCCTACTATGCATGATCATAACTTTTCATTTGTATGCATCAAAATAATATCAAGAGTATTTCATGCATAATTTTATATCACCATATAAGGAATATCAAGAAGAAAATAATTGGGTGATGAGATAAACATTTCATGAATACAAGGAATTGCATAAAAATCATATCATGAAAGATTAGAACATGTGAATACCAAAAAACATGATTTCTTTTTGAAGAACCTACTCATAAATAATCAAAAGAAAATCTTAGGAGATCGATTAATGAAAAAATCTTAATTCATAATAAATCTTAATTTGTAAATAGCACGGAATCAAGATCATGATTTTGGATAAAACTCATTCAAATTCAAATCGTCCAAATTATCAAAATCTCAACATTTCTTTCAAGAGATTCAAAATAGCATAAATAATTTTAATAAAAAATTCTTTCCTCCTTTTGTTTCAACTTATTGATTGATTCCATATATGTATGTCCTTTTCTTTCAAATCCATGCATCATCATTTAAAACGGAAGGATAAAAAATCATCAAGATAAAAAAAAGTGCAACACATAATTCAAAAAAACTAATTTCAACTCATTACTTCAAGTCAAACATGATTTCATTTAATCAAAATCGAATAACTTCAAGACCAATAAATCATCATGTATAATAATCATCAAGTATGATACAAACTTTTCAAAACATTTATCATGATAAGGCATATAAGCCAAAGAAACTATTAAACATAAAGCATATTCATGAATGATGGTTTCATTGAGCATAAGTTATTTTCAACCAAAATCATTTTGTTATTTATTGTAGTCATGTATTTTTTTTTTAGATTAATCTATCTTTTTATGCTTAGTTTTCCATACAAAAGCCATGCATCATCATTAAGCATGATGTTAAATTTTTTAATATTTTCATTAAGACATCAAGCATGGTTTCAATCAAAATCGAAAATCATCAAGATACACATTTTTTTTTCTTAAGAAAAACATACATATGATCATTAGATTTAAATTTAACATTTTATTCCATTAACATAAAATATGTAATTTTCAAGAAAAATGATTATTAATAAAATAAAATAAAAGAAAATGCATCATGAAAAATATCAAGTAATTTCAAAATAAATTAAGGGGGTTTCGATTACCTCGTCATTGAATGCCGTTGAGGCGTAGTTTGCCACATCGCCTTTCTTGATTTTCTCCTCGTCTTCGGATGAGCTTGATTCATCCCAATTTTTATTCTTCTTCTTGCGTTCAAAGCAAGTAGTTTTGTTCTTTTTGTTCTTTAATTTTTGTTTCATTTTTAGTTTAAGTTCACCATTACTTGAGCTTATGCTCGAGTGGTCTTCAAATGTTCTATGTCCCAAATCCTTCCTGTCCTTTGGAAGGTGGTTCTCAAGTTCTTCATGTGTATTACACGTTATTTCGTAGGTCATTAGAGACACAATAAGTTCTTCGAGAGAAAATGTTTTAAGGTCCTTAGCCTCTTGAATGGCCGTAACTTTTGGATCCCAACTCTTTGGAAGGGATCTTAAAATTTTAGTTACTAGTTCAAAGTTAGAAAAATCTTTACCAAGAGCTTTAAGTCTATTAATGACATCCGTGAAACGAGTGTACATGTCTCCGATGGACTCACTTGGTTTCATTTGGAAAAGTTCGTAAGAATGCACAAGAATGTTGATTTTGGACTCTTTCACTCGACTAGTGACCTCAAGAGTTCTTCAAATATCAAAAGCCAAATCACAATTCGAAACGCGATTAAATTTATTTTTGTCAAGTGCACAATATAAGGCATTCATAGCCTTTGCATTTAGAGAAAATATCTTCTTCTCCAAATCATTCCAATGGTTCATTGGAAGAGAAGATATTTCAAATCCATTTTCGACTATGTGCCATAAATTCAAATTCAAAGAAAGTAAGAAAACTCTCATTCGAGTTTTCCAATAAGTGTAGTCCGTCCCATTGAAAAAGGGAGGACGAATGAGAGAGCAACCCTCTTGAAGGCCAAAAAGAGTCATTTCTATTTGGGTTTTAAACCAAAGTAGAAAACCATGGCTCTGATACCAATTGTTAGGATCAGAGCGGCACTAAGAGGGGGGGGGGGGTGAATTAGTGCAGCGGATTAAAACTCGTAAGTTTGAAAACGATTTCGTAAATGCGTAAAGATTTCGATTCTATAGTAACTTGAGTAGATGAAAACCGAAAGCTAGCAGTAGTGTAAATAACAATCTCAGGAAAGTAAGAACTCATAGATTCAAGGAACACACTAATTTAAAGTGGTTCGGTCAAAATGACCTACATCCACTTGCGAAGCCTTCTTCGATGAGGCTCCCAACTTCCACTAGCAAATCACTTTGAAGGGGAAGAACAAATACCCATCTTACAACCTTTTACAAGTGGTTCACACTCTTACATATTTTCAAAGAGAAAGAGGGAGGTGAACACTCAAGCAATTGAAAACAAGACTTGCTAAAGACTTTGCTAAGGCTTTATCTCAATCTCTAACTTCTCAAAGGTTGTGTTCTCTGGTGAGAATTGAGAGGTATTTATAGGCCCCAAGAGGATTTAAATTTGGGCTCCAAATTTTGAATTCTCTTGGGTTCCAGATGCTGGCGGTGCCATCGCCTGTTACTGTCTAACACTAATAGTGTACTGGCGGTGCCACCGCCGGACCTCTCGGGTCCTTGGTGGTGCCACCGCCTAGCCCGACGGTACCACCGCCTAATCCTTCGGGTTCTGGGCGGTGCCATAGCCCAGTCTGGCGGTTCCACCGCCTGATCTTACGGGTCACTAGTTGGGCTTCAGATCTGGCCCAAACCAAGTCATATTCGGGCCCATTTGGCCCCTAACCAAGATATAGGATTATTTTTTAATCCTAACCCTAATTACATGCAAACTACGAAGTTAAGATATAGTCCTAAGCATATCTTATAACCGACAACGTTGAGTTTCCTTCCGACGAGCTTTCCGGCGATCTTCCGATGGACTTCCGATACACCCTCGGATTTCTTCCGGCGGACTCCCAACAGGCTCTCGATCTTGTGGCGAGTTCAGCGAGTAGCTAAGCATTCTCGGTGATCTTCGCGAACCTCCGACGATCTCTTCAGTGGACTTTCGAAAACTCCGACAAGTCCCCGATTTCCTCTCTATTGGTTCCGGCAGCATCTCCGATGAATCTTCGGACTCTCGAACACCCATCGAACTTGACTCCATGTGATTTGCTTTATGTCTTCAAGCTATCGTAGTTAATCCTGCATATGTAAAATAAAACTTCGATCGAGATAATTAATCTTAAGCAATTAATCAAGTTGTCCGGCATGTCATTGGTCCCTCGACGCTTCGTCCGATTCTTCGGTGCATCATCCTCTCTTGTGGCCTATTGCCCAATCGGTCAGTTGACTCCGTAACTCCGATATCCTTGGCACAATACCCGCTCTTCTTGGCCTGATCCCCGAATCCATGGCCCGAAGCCTTCTATCGATACGTCGACCGATCCACCGGCCCGACGTCCAATCTTCTGACATGTTCCTCTAACCCAACATGATTTTCCTGCTTTAATTGTCTCATCCTAATCGAAGCATCCTACGTCACTCAAAACGTAGATTAAATCATAAACACATATCAAATGGTTTCATCATCAAAATACGAGATTCAACAATATACATATATATACATATATATAATATATATATTTATATACATATAATATATACGTATATACATATATATATATGTATATACATGTATATATATAATATATATGTATATATAT